AATAATAAGTTTCAATAAAAATGATAAAATGAAAATTTAATTTTATCATAACGAGTTTGCTTGAATTTCGTTTCTTCTGAGATTGCAGCAATGCGCGACAGGTAAGCTAGTATATACTATTTCCAGTTTTATCTTCCTCTTCTATTTTAATGAAATTGAAAATTAAATCTTCTGAAACCGTGTTGTCTTAATTTCTTTGATTCACTAACACAAGGTGTGCTTCTATTTCAACACTTGGCAGTGTTGAAATAGAAACACACCTTGTGTTAGTGAATCAAAGAAATTGAAAATATAATAAATAAATTGTATTGTCTTATCTATATTAATTTTAATCTCTATATCATTACATAAATTAAAATATCATCAACGTATCTTTTATAAAATTTTATTCCCAGTATTCTATTATTGTTTCATCTATGTCTACCATTATCATCTCTGCTAACTTCAGTCCTATAACAGACCCCATACTAATCCCTTCTGTTTGTATGTAATATTTTCCATCTACTTCAAAGAATTTACTATCATATCTAAATTTCTGGTTCGACTAACTTGTTTTAGTTTATTTTCGATTATCTCCCATATTATTGACGGATACATATTGACTATTTCAAGACTTGCCATTTTAAACTTATTTTCAATATTTAACTGTTTAAGATCATCTAAAAGTTTGTCTGTGTGTGAATAGAAATCTAGAATTTTGATATGTTTTAAGTTTTTGTTTTAAACATTTTTCTAAACTATACAATGTAGCATATTTAAAATCAATTATAGGTCTGACTTTTCCGTCTATTTTATGCGTCTTTAGTTGTATATTCATTCTTGGAATGCATTCATTATCTCCATTTAAAATAAACTCTTTTTCTGTTTTACTAAGTTTCTATAGTTGTGTAACCCTATTCTTTAGATCCCCATATATAAATGGCAGGAACGCTGGGAGAAGTGTATATATTACCAAGAAGACTACTTTGAAGGGGATTAGGGTTTTATACCTCAAAGTCAATAAATTTATTTTTGCCGACCAAAGGTCCGATACTTTTTGAACAGACCTTGTACCTCGATCATTAAACCTAACCACGCTCTGCTAGCTCGTAAGGATGTGAATCTATGTAGGTTCTAGTCAAAGGTAAACACAAAGAAAATGAAGGTAGGAATGCCATGTGCTGCTTGACAGGATTTTCACTAGTTTGAACATGGCGTGGACCATAGAGTAGAGGGCATGACAATACTAAGTTCTAAAGGTTACATGTACAACTTTTCAACAGTATCTTTACTAGTTCTAGTTTTTATCTTAGTATATTCCATATTAAAAATATTTTGTATTATATACAATGGTATGTTTGAGTTATATTTCACAATAGCATTAATTGAGCAAGACTTTAAAAGGTTCAAATTCAAGTTCTTTTCCATTTCTTTTTTATTGTAATATCTAAATAATCTATATATAAAAATGAATGTATGTCTGTGTGTCTGTCCTATGTCCTTCATGCATTCCCACACCGTTTATCCGATTGCCGTGAAACTTTGGGAAGTTGTTTAATATACTCCCGCGAAGGTTTCTGGCATAGTACATTTATCCTACGATAGATNTTTTAGAAAAAATTAAGCCAAGCTTCTCCTTAGAGTCAAGAATCTTAAAACAAAAATTGACCTACTTTGGACATGTGATGCGTAAAGAAGTTTCCCTAGAGAAGACTATTATGCTGGGAAAAGTGGAAGGTAGAAGGAAGAGGGGAAGGCAACGGATAAGATGGATAGAAGAAATAGAAAAAGTCACAGAAATGAAGCTGGATGAGCTACGAGAGACAACAAGGGAAAGATCAAGATGGAGAAGACTTGTCCATGAAGTCACCAGGAGTCGACGACGACTCGATGGAACTTAACAACAAACAACAAAATTGATTGTCCTTTAGGAAATTATGTAATCTTTCAATTTCATTTTTGTACTGGTGGTAGTTTTTATTTTTTGATTGTTTTCCCATTTTTTCTTTTGATATATTGTTTAATCTTATTGCTTATGTTCATTTTAAAAATTCCAGATTCTATTTCGATTAAGTTATTGCATATACGATCTAAATTAGGTATTATATTTAGAACCTCCCATCTATTAGGGCCATTAAAGTCAAGGCCTTTACATATTGTTTCTATGATACTATCAGGGATCATAACTTGTTTTATTTAGAACCAAAGATTTTCTCCTCTATATCGGGAATTGGAATTTTTCTACTAACTTGTTATGTTTATTGGCTTCAAACCGACATATGTTCTTAGTTCTTCCATTTATGTCTTCTAAATGAGTCTTTTCTTCTTAATTTTTAAATTTTCTTAGTGTATGTTTCAGTTGTCTAATTCTAGTATAGTATATTTAAACTTTATTGCTGATCACAGTATCTTAAGATTAATATATTTCCTGTCTCTCATTGGAATCGCTTCAGTAATTGATTTTGGTAGAGAAAGTGTTCTCAGAGGTTTATTTTCTTTAAGATGTATGTTGAGGTAGTGTAAGTCAATTTCAAAAACATATTGATAGTTTATGAAAGTTTCATAATGTTGTAATTAACATAGAACTGGATTATAGTATCGTAAATGTAATATTTCTAGTGTTTGTCTAGAGAGATATATACGGGTAATACAATCTGCTGTATATATGTGTTCCTGTCAAGTTTGTAAGCAATCTAGAGGTATGTCTCACAAGATATTTTTACATTTGGCCTTTATGAATTTTTTGTAGATTTGTATTTTTGAATCACAATAGTTACCATGGAAATCAATTACTTATTAAACAGGATATATTCCAATATGAAAACAAGTTACTTATCTGCATACTTACAGGTAAAGATAGTTGGCTATCCTCTGGGACTTAGCCAGTGAATTAAAAGAAAGAAGGGGAAATGTAGGGTACGGATAGGGGAGGAAGGAGTGGGTTGGGGAGAGAGGTGAAATGGGTATGGAAAGAGTGGAAGGAAAAGAATAGTTTGAGATCCCAAAACTGACAAGCGTCATAAATAGTTACAAGTAACAGTTGTACAAGGTATTAATTACAGCGTGCCTTTCGGCAAGATGATACGAAACATACAATCAATGATATAAAACATTACTTGCCAGTGGTATATAACAACAGACCAACACTGACACTAAACAATTTGCAGCAACCCTTAAGCATTAATACCACAACATACATTGGCGTGTTTACAGTAGGTATTCCCAATGAAACCAGTCCTCCATGACTGACACAATTAGCAATATCAACTATGGGATGGAAGTTCCAGTTCCAGTGTTGTCTGTTGGGCCTGAGTTCAGATGGGTTGTATATTTGAATAGATTACAAGTGTTCACAAATTTGGCAAACTTCTCTAAAGTCTCCTGGTCTTTACAAAGGGTAGTGAGACCAGGGGGCCAACTTTGACCCTTTTGTAGGCAGTGGTAAATAAGTTCTTCCCGCTGGCTATCATAGTGGAGGGCGTCCCCCACAGTGGTACCATCGCAGTCACATCTGTCGTTGCTAATTTTCTTAAACCTAGCTAGGTAGGAGGGAAAGTTGTCATGGCCTGTGAGGCACTGAGTGATTGCATGAGTAGGGATGAAGTGTCTGTAAGTCTATCTCTTAAGGATGGATGGTAGGAATGGAAGTAGGAATTTAAAAGCAGGTCTTCCAGTTGTTAATGCAGTCCATTCTTTCTGCCATTCCTCCATGATGCAATTTCTGATGGTTTTTTTTGACATGAGTTGCTGGAATTTTAGAGAATGAGGAGATGTTCATAGAGGTAACTTTTTTGGCAAGGGCATCTGCATGCTCACTGCCTGTATGCTCAGTCACCCAGTTAAAACTGATCTGGGTAAACCTACTCAGGTTCCTGGCAATATTTCTCACCTCTAGCCCAGTCTTAGTGCATCTGTTGTTGTTAGAGAGAATATTTAAAACATACCTACTGTCGGTATATACGGCAATGTTCCCTTGTAGACACCTTTGTTTTTAGTTATGACACTGAGTGCTTTGTGGACCACTAAAAGCTCTGCTTGGTTATTGGTACAGTGCCTATGGAGCCGGAAATATTGCTGGTACTTAATAACATGGTCATTATCATAAATAACAAAGGCTGCACCAGTACCATTATCATTGCTGGAACCATCTGTGTAAGTACTCCAGTTTTCCCTCATTTCCCTATTATGGTGATTGTTGATGTTTATTGTATAGTTGCCATTATCCCCTGGGTGCTTATCCAGAGGGGAGCCTGTGATATAGCTATACAAATTATATTCAATAATGGAGGTTATTAAGTTTGCACTGTTTGGTGGTAGCATTCCCTTGTTACAGAGGGTGTGGATTTCCTCGGTGGTGATGTTCTGATGGTTCATATTCATTATTGTCCAGTTCCATACCATTTCTTTTATTCTCAGGTGTATGGGAACCAGGTTTGCTATTATCAATAATGCATCAGTGGGGGTTGTGCAGTACGCCCTGCAAATTCTTATGGCCGCTCTCCTCTGTACCGCAAACAGTTTTCTCTTATTGTGAACTGCAGTTGCTTTATTGCGCCAGATCTGGGCTGCATACAGAATAGCAGGCTCAATAACCCCTCTATAAATCAATTTGCAGTTTTCACTGCTTAGCCCCCAGGTGTTCCTGGCTATATAATTATAAAGGTTGACTCTCTGCTGGACTTTTTTACGTATCTCCATAATATGGAATTTCCAACTTAGGTGTTTACCTAGACCCAACTCTAAGTATTTGAGGCAAGGCACAATCTTTAGTTTATTGTTGTCTAGATACAGAGCAAATGAGCATTGCAGTTGTTTCTTCTTGGATCTTTTCATGCACACCAGGGCCTCACATTTATCATAATTGATAGGGAGTTTGTTTCTCTCACTCCAGCCACTAATTATGTTAAGGATCTCATTGGCTTACTTTTGTAAAGTGTCATTATTCTGATGTGTCATCTGCAAAACCTTGAGCCTTGACGTCCAGGTCCGATTCAATGCTGTTAAGCAGATCATTGTAGACCATGTTCCACAGCCCTGGGCTGCTTCTGGAACCCTGTGGGCATCCCCTGGTAATACTCAAGCACATTCAAGGTGGAGAAGAATAATATCCTACTGTTCTGTTTTCCAAGTAGCTGTTGCACAATTTATATATATTGTTGGGGCAATTGATCTGGTGCAACCTATGCATTATCGTAGGCCACCATAGGTTATCAAAAGCCTTTTTAAAATCCATACTTATTAGCAGTACATGCCTATCCATGCTCTATAAAGTCCTTAAAACCCTGGATAGCGTGGATTGTCAAGCAGCCAGGTTGGAACCCGTATTGGTTCTTGTATTGTAGATTTTTCTTAGTCAGATACCAGTTTATCCTATCTACTAGAAGGCCATCCAACACTCCCCATAGTTGGCAGCAGGCTGATAGACCTATAATTGTTCTCAGTGGATGGGCTGTCAACTTTCAGTATAAATTTGACATTTGCCTTCTTCCAGAGGTCTGGGGAGTAGCCACAGTGTAAGCAGGCATTGTACAGCAAAATGAAGGCAACTGGAATCTCCTGGAAAGCTGCTTTCACCATTTCCTTTGTTATATTATCGCTACCTGGAGCTTTCTTATTGGCCATGGTGTTTACCATACATTCCACTTCTCGAAAAGTGAACCAACTGTCATCCCCATTATTCTGGGGAACAGAGATGGTTGCTCTTACCTCTTCATGCACCTTAAGATCTTTATCTGGATTATCCTCGGGGAAATGGTGGTTATGATGTCATAGGTGCTAGTACCATTTTTATTAGTAAGGTTAGGAATTGTGGTTTTCTTGTTGCCCCTAAAGACAATCTGGTATGACTGAGACCAGGGATCTGTGCAGGACCTGGTACAGAATTCCTTCCATGCCTTTGTCCTTGCATGGTTTATTGCATTTTTGTATGCTTTAAGGCTTTTATCATAGGCTACTCTCTTCTGCTCTTTCCTTTCATTATTTCCAGGCTTTTGCCAATGCCTATGAAGCTTTCTGATTTCATATTTCATTTTTTCCAGTTCATTGTTCCACCAGTGTGTTCTCGTTTTCTTGGTCTTATAGGTCACTGAGTTGTTAGCTGCCCTAACCATCGAATTGGTCATGTAGCCTACTTATTGGTCAATGTCCACCGGACTCTTAAGAGGGCGGATGTTGTAATCTCTCCAGTAAGCTGCAAAGAGATATCTAAAGGTTTCCCAGTTTCTAATTTGCCGATGAAGGTTATCATTTATAGAGTTGATCTGTACTCCGTTCTTTATAGTGGTCAGAACATACAATTATTTCTGCTAGCAACCATTGCTAAGTGTCTCACAGTTCTCAATATAACTACCAATTGCAGTAGAGGCCAGGCAGACATCTGTCCACCCTTTGGCCCTGATAGTAAAAAAGGTTGGATGGTCTGTTGTATTGAGTGAAATGCAATCCTTTTCATCCATTAAGTCACTTAACCTCCCACAGTGGTCCTCATGCTTGTGGAACCAAAGTGGGGATTTCGTATTTGCATCCCCTGCAATTATAAAGTTTTCACTATCAAGGGAGTGGATGACATTACTGAGCTCCTCAATACACTCCTCGTTTGAATCAAAAGGGGAGAAGTAAATGCAGATTATGTAATTGATGGTATCTGAGTTTATGGCAGCCATAGTAATACAATTCGAGCTCAACTCTGGAATCATAACCACATCAACGTCTAATAATGACACCACTGTGGGCCTTTGGTTTTTTTTTTCTTTATTCAGGATTTGTCACTTTCAAAAGTGAGTAATCAAATTTCCAACCATATACGGCTCCTGGATGAGAATAATATCTACATCCAGGTTGTTAGCCATCTTCATCACCAGGGAGGAGGCTGCTTTACTCTTTTGTGTATTAATTTGTAGTATTTTTAACGTGTTACTAGTAACAGCCATGAAGGAGAAACAGCAGCAACCAGATAGAAAATGCATTATGGTTTGTTGCGTGCTTCCTTTCCTCCACCTGGTTTTATTAGCTTTTATACAATTTGTACATTTGGTTCTTCCTTGCAATATGGGCAGTCATTGTATTTGTCTTTGTTAAGACAAAAAATGAAGCATTACCTTTCGTTTTCTTTTGTTCTTTTATTACTTAACTTTACTGACTAGCNTGACTATAGCTGGATGATGAACCCTGCTGTTTCCAATTTTTCCAGAAATTTTTTACTAAAACTCAAAGGTGATGATAATTACCTTTGGAGATGAAGCAATGCTTTGCTTACCAGGAATGGTACTACATCTTTACACTTTTTGAACTGTAAAAACTTAAACATACGTAATTTCCAGTTACTGTAATCTGCTCCATCAAATATTGGTATATTGATATCACTATTCTTCGCCGCCATTACCACGTGTGCTCTTTCTTTGTTTTCTTTAATTATTTAACTCTTTTCGCTTCTTGTTTTTTTTCGTTCTTTTTTCTTTTTAACCACGCTCTGCTACCATGTTAAGACAAAAAATGAAGCATTACCTTTCGTTTTCTTTTGTTCTTTTATTACTTAACTTTACTGACTAGCGGATCTTATTTTACAACGTTTCAAATTGACGAACCTCTGACGACAGAACCCTTTTGCCAGTGTTGCCAGATATCGCTGTACAATAATTAACAATATAAATGTACAATAATTAACAGTCTTTTCATGCAGTGACTGCTCCTGTGAGCCACAACCTTGTGGCCAAAACCAGTGCACCTGTAGCATCTTAGGACGGGAATATAATTGTCCACTACAAGTGTGCCCCATTCATAACATACTCTCTTTATATTAATTAGGGTATTCCGAACTGTTGGAGTTACATTACGCTTACTATAACATGTCTATAGTCATCCTTTTTCTTTGAGTTTATAGCACTTTTAATTCTCGTTTCCTTCTGGAAGCTTTCCAACGAGAACTTTTCCTTGATCTGAACGTTTTGGTCATATAACTTTGTAAGGAACTCGTTCTGATCCTTATCTTTAGGAACATTCAGTATGATCACCCTTGGATTCTTTTTTTAGGGTTAGTAATCTTCACTTTCCCACTTACATCTGGTAGCGTTTCTATTGCATTTTTCATATTGTCATAATCTTTTTCTGAGTTCAGCTTTATTTTAGCATTTCTACTTGCTGTAGGGGTAATGTTCCTCACTCCAATGTTGAGCAAGGAAGGACTTATATTGTCTTGCAGCATGTTCATAACCTCCTCTGGACATATTTTCTTCCCACTGGCGGTGGCCACGGGCTCTAGAATAAGCTCGCATAGCCTCTCATTGGATTTGCTATGAGCTAAAGATTCATCTATCATCATGGTTGTGTTACTTCCCCTCACTGAGCCTAACCTAGCAATGTCAGCAAACTGTAGGTTGTGGCCAACTCCTTAATTTGCAGTGCAAAAACAATTCCGTATAAATTGTTGGCAGCTGCATGAATGTCTAGTGCCACTTGCCTTACTTCCTTCTTCCGTTTTATGGTGATAGACCCATGTGCTTTGGCTGGGAGTGCCTCCATGATAGTATCTAGTCTATTGGATATGATATCTTGTCTATCCATTATATGATCACCAAATCACCAGACAACATTAGCCAATATACACTACCAAATATACAATACCAGCCGGCAAAAACCGAATTAGGTGCTTTTGGAGTAACTCGAATTAGGTTCGAGTAAAGAGTGGAAACAAAGACTACTGGCTAACAGTCTAGAAAAACCATCAATAACCTGATAAATGATAGCCATAGAATTACCGAATTAACACTGAAGAGTGACTAATACACTCTAAGCGTGACAATATCCGATTGGCCCTCAGAACACAGCGAATGGCCTGATCCAAGCCCGCAAAATGCAGAAACTGAAACGACCTTAACTGAGGGAAAATACCTGTAAACAAAAAAGAAAAGTACTGCTGAGAACAGCAGAATGCTCGCTATTCAACAGTATAACACATTTAATGTTAAAAAAAAAGATAACAGACGGTTACATGCGGTACAAAAACACACATAACTTAATATATAATATTCCAGAATAAACAAAATATACCTCAAAATGATCCTCTTGGCAACAGCTAACTAAACATAAACAAAAACCTCACAATTTAGTAGACAGAATGCTGATGTGACAATCAAAAAAGGAGCCTAAGTACACCACGTCTACCCCCCACTTATCTGCATACTAGAAGTCAATTGGAATTAGAAAGAAATAGACTGGTCATCCATTTAATTAAATGTGACAACAAAAAGATATGTGGACCACAGTAGAGCAGAGTATCCTAGGATAATAAACAAAAAGGACTATCTGAAGGTACCAATCTGAAGATGTCAAACTGCTGGCAGACATTGGACTCCTGGAATATGATAAATTGTAAGGTAGATAATGTAAAATTATAAAACACATACTGCAAGGTGGTGAAATATCAAACACTACATATCAATTGTAATAAACAAACTTTCTTTCAGTAATTGCCAGCCAACTCTAAAGTGTATGTACTGTCTGAATACATTTGATATGAATCTTTCACCAAGGTGCATTGGAAATTAAAGTGAGATGTGGACTGGCCAGCACTAGGGATAAGGTTGTTCAACATTTTGTAAGAACAACAAAGCGGAACAACTCCAATACATAAATATGTAAGTATAATAGCATCTAATAATGATTATGATAAATTTGAGATTTATTTATTTTTAAACACAATAATTAATAACAAAACATTTGTATTATTATTTGAAATTGAATAGAAAGAATAAATTGCCAAATTCAGTTTTTCCTTAAAATTTATATTTATTAGAGTAAAATTGCATAAGTGGTGCTGCAATCAGTATCCATGGAAAGGTTTTATACAATTTCTTGAATAAGAAAAATTTAACAAAATTTAGTTATCAAATAATATTTCAATAAATTCATTTCAAATTATATATAGGGTGAATCCAAATTATTGTTGGCAATTTTATATCCTATAATTTTACAACTGAAACAACAAAATAAAACTGCTTACAGAATGTGAAAGTTTAACTCAGTTTTATTTCTCCGACAATAATGCAATGAGTATATGACATCATACGTCAAAATGGTAACTGTTCAAGAGAAAGCAATGTGTGCAATTTGGTTTTTCAAAATACAAGTGCATGTTATCACAGACCTATGGAACAGAGCCATCTTCAGGTAATGCTGATATTGGTTAAAGCAAGTTCAAGAGACAGTAGTGTTTAGCATCAAAAAGGAGAATAAAGATTAGAATGATTCCAGGAAATACTTTATCAAACTAGACAAGTTTCTTTGCAATTAGGTATACCACAAATGACTATAGCTGGATGATGAACCCTGCTGTTTCCAATTTTTCCAGAAATTTTTTACTAAAACTCAAAGGTGATGATAATTACCTTTGGAGATGAAGCAATGCTTTGCTTACCAGGAATGGTAAATTATCATAACTAAAGGGTTTTCTGATCCAATAGTCTAATGCCAGAAGACTGACAAATTATTAACACTAAAAGACTGAGTTTATTCTGTGCCTATTTCGTTACTGGATGCTGAAGGTTTTGTTTTTTTGATTGTGGGATTTGGAATGATAGACTAATTCTGTAACCTCTATATTAACTCACTGCAAATTGCCAGAGTGACATATTATTATTATTCTAGATGTAATAAATCCTTACAGAATATGAAGTGTAATTTTTTGTTTCTAGTTGGAAAATTATAGGACATGGAAACCCTGGCAATAATATAGAAGCACCCTGTGTATAAGTTATGTAAATTTTATTATTTAAATAATATGTGGATTTAATTCTTAAAATTATGATTATATGATATTGTAATTTTAATTTTTTAATATTTGAAATCAATGATACAGTAACAAAATATTAAATCTAATGAAGCAGATACTGCTCCTATAAATGAAACATTCATAAATATTTATAAATAATTCACCTGAACCAAAAGTGTCTTCTTTATTGTCTGAAAGGTTCGACAATGGAGAATTTCTTGGACTTGTATCGGGAGTACTATCTGGAGATACTAAAGTTTAAAAAAATTTATATATTACTATTAAATATAGCTTTATTAAATTAAACTAATCCATCTTTGATTGTGCAAGTCAAGAGTTATTCTTTGTGCTCTTCAATACAGAATTTTTTATTTTTAATTAAAATTGTATTGCTTCAAGACTGGCAGAATTATATATAAATACAATCAGAAATTAGTCTTGAAATTTTTGAAATACTATGGCAAACAAATTTTATAAAATGTTTCCTTTTGTGGAAAGTATGCCATTCCAGTTCCAGTATGCCATTGTAAGTTATATATTAATTTAATCAAAGGGAAATATTCTAAAAACTATGTTCTTTGTTCCTTCTCGCTTCTAGAACTTTCTTTTCTAACTCTCTTCCCTTGGGTGGTGAGGACCGATTCATGGAAGTACAAAAAAAGAGGGCTTGAGGGTACAAGTGAGAGGACGTGGGTCATTCTTTGGACTGGACCTCAGAGTGGACAGATATGAAAGACTGTGTTCCTCATCATCAAGAGCAGCTAGACTGGAGGAACAGTGCTAGTCTGATAGGAACTGGAATTTTATCATAGTTACATATCATAGATAAAAGGAGTATCAAGTAGGTATAAAGGATAACCAAAGGAAGATGACAATGAACCATCAGTCCGAGCAAGTTCCATGTGGCCTCCCACCAAAATTGTACAAAGTTCTGTATATCCTGGATATTTCATTTTTACCTATATCCTATTTCACTATGTATCACTCTCCCTGATATTTTTCCTGGAGCCGAGTCCCTAAGCGTTTTGTGTGTGTGTGTGTGTGTGTGTGTGACTTTTGAAGCTATTCCAAAGCTTTCTCGAGTCTTTATTTTGCTCTAATTTTTTTAGTGTTGTCCGACACTATGCTATTTAGATGATTGCACAATCTATTTGACTCTTGCTGCTTGCCTACCTGTGGTGGTCCTGTTGCCCCATCTCTGGGGTGCTAAAAGCAGCAGATAAATGGCAGTTTTTACTGTCATTTATGTACTGCTAACCCTATGTACTATCCCTTTTTCCTTACTTCCTACTATGTGTGGTGACAGAACTGTACCTACAGGTCAGGACCTTTAGAGGTAAGTAGGGCAAAACTGTTCCCCATCAAAGATGAACTCAAAAAATATATAGAGGATAACCCAAACTTGAAATTTGGTGCAAGAATACACTCTCAGTGCATCCTAGATTTTTTTCTCAACCGGATGATTGAAGTCTTCGACAAGACTCATAAGACAAAGGATACTGAACTCGTAGATAATCCAGAAGCTTGACAAACTACTGGAGAACTCTATACTGAAACAACCTGTACAGACATTTGCTGATAAGTTAAAAGTAAGTCTTAACTCTTCTTCCAGGCCAGGTGCAATCATAATAATAGAAAGCTCAGATGACAAAGATGATGCAGAAACCATCAAAGAAAATAAAAGAAAACCCGAACCCAAGTAGTCTGAAGATAGGAATAACCAAAGTGCATAAGATTAGGAACTGTAGCCTTCTGGTGGAAGTGGAGGGCAAAGATAGAGGTAAAGATTTAATACAAGAAATAAATAATATTCAGAACCTATCAGCCAGAGAGCCAAAGATGATTTTATCAAAGATAGCCATTTATAATGTGCCATCACACTTAGGCTTTCGACAACGTTGGATTTCTCTATTCCAACAGAACAATAATCTTTCAAGCCAATATGAAGAGGATATACGGTATTTCCTTCTTTAATTCTTCTATATCTGTGCAGATAAGACGAGGTGTAAATTTTCATCAAAGTTTTATAGTTTTAGCATAAATCTGTCCTATAATATGACCCCCAAACTATCAATGGCCTATGAATTTAGTTTAGATCAGCGATCATCGTCTGGATAATAACACTATATAGCGTATACGGAATTACGTCCTATTTATAATTTTTTGAAAGAACTTCAAATTTTATGTTATTGCATCTGGCAGCACTGCCTTGTGATTGCTGCAAACATTCATACTGTTTTGAGAATTCAGGTGATGACCTTGACTATTCACAAAAACTTCATATGGTCTATTCTATTTTGTGGACATACCCTACTCTCTACTAATAAATAATTATGGTTTTTCTGTTTTTTATAATGATTTTAATTTATATAAATTTTTATCTATCCTATAAGATGACCCTAGATTTTGGGGGTCTTTTTTCATGATTCAACTATTGTCTTATCTGTGCAGATATATGATAAGTATTAAAAATAAATGGGGGGAGAAACTGGATATGCAAAATATTGCCGAAGCTCTGAAGAATGCTACTGAAGAAGAAGGTAAATGTCGACTAGGTTCACTGCTCTGTCGAAGAACATTACAATATAATAGTGTTTTAAGTGTTGAAGGTACGGCCATTTTGCCAGGGAGTGTATCAGTGAACTGAATTATTTTAACCACTGTGGTGGCAACCACAGGTTCTCAGAGTGTAAAAACAAAAGTACAGCCCCAAACTGCATAAACTGAATCAGGAGTAAAGCAGCTACATTTGCCCACAAGGCCAACCATCCCACTTGCACCAAAAGACAGAAGATTATCAAATCTATTGCCTCTAGAATCAACTATGGATAACCACAGCTTCCACCAAAACAGCAGCCTACATCACCCTACCCAGAGACTAAAATCAACATAGTGCAAGTTAACCTTGAGAGGGGAGTTGTGGCTGTCTCCTAACTTATTGCCTGTGCCTACGGCGATGCGAATGTTCTGATCATACAGGAACCTTATCAAAGAAGCAGCTTCCCACTCGGATGGTCAATCAAGATGAAAAAGCTATACCATTGCGAGGACATAGTGCCTTGGACAATGATAGTAATATTATCATTGGTAATACCTACCTTACTAACTAAATACAGTAATCAATTCCAGACATTTATCAAGATTTCTAACAACAAATATAAATGGATAATAGGCAGTATCTACATCCCAATGGAAGCCAATATTCAGAACATATTGGAGGACCTAGATGACATAGTGGACACTTGTAAGAACGCTCACAAGATTGATAGCAGGTGACCTGAATGCTCATGCATACCTTTGGTTTGACGAGGAGATTGACGACAGAGGTGAGGCAGTTGAAAACTTCATTAATGAGAAAGACTTGTTTATACTCAATGAGCCTGGACATCACTTACTTTTGGAAGTTCTAATAGGACATCCAATGTAAATCTAACTATATGCAATCATTTAGCCTTAAGACATATCCATGACTGGGAAGTATGTGCCAAATTTGCTATCTGATCGAAAGGTATCTAAAATACAACCTATCTGACTTTTATATAAGTGACAATATTAGTATAATATAAGCTTGCTAACTGGAGCTGAATTACCCAAAATATCACTAATCAAAACTTTAACTTCAACAGCATCCCAGATAGTCTCCATGCCGAAGATGAGATCAACAGGTTTATCAACACACTTAATAAATTTATTCCCAGGTACAAACAGAATGAAAGGATTTTGTGAAATGGTGGCGCAAGGAGAGAAGAAGGTATCAAACTTGCCATTCTGATGAACTAAAGTGGGAATATATAGAAGAACAAAAGGCATGCAAGGACCACAAAACTTAAAAGCTGGAGAAAGTTCTGAACCAGAAAATAAGTTATAATTAACAGATTTCAAGAACAAGGATGGTACCCATACTATGAACACCAGGACTGTGTCAGCCTACTGTTGGAGTTTTTCAAGGATGACAACCGGGATCAAGACAATCTTAGTCAAAGGAGCATAAGGAGTAATGTCAAATACCATTCCAATGGCACAAACGACCCTAAGTTCACTAATAATAAAATAGATTGGGCTATAAGTTTAAAAATGATAAGCTAACCATAGAGATCATCAATAATATACATTCTAGGCTCCCAACCATCCTCTGTGAGACAGTAGTTGTAAAGATCACATTCGGTATTTACCCAAGTGAATGGAAAGTTGCTGATGTAGTACCTATCTACAAAGGAAACAACAAGCCTCATGACTCCATCAAGAGCTACCATCCTATCTGCCTCTTACCAAATCTTAGGAAAAGTGTTAGACTGCCTTATTTATTACCAGACATCTTACCAACTGGCTTAGTGCCCATCATCTGCTTAACCCAAGGTAATATAGTTTCAAAAAAGGTGTCGGTGCAGAAGATGCCATCTACAAGGTAGTAAAGGAAATCAGTGAAAACAAAAACAAAGCAATAAGCTTGGACAATAGCAATAAGCTTGGATATTAAAGGGGCATTCGACAACGCTTGGTGGTCCCTTATCCACAACAGATTAGAAACCCTTAACTGTCTGCCAATTTTTACAGGTTAGTACTCGATTATTTCACTAACAGAAAAGCCATCTTAAATTATAGAGATACCGCATAAAAAAAAAAGTTACAACTGGCTGTCCACAAGGATCCTATTCCAGCCTGCTCTACTGGAACATCCTGCTAGATGACCTACTAAACCAAAACTTCCTTAAATAACAAAAACATCACAGTATATGCCGATGATCTGATACTCCTCTGCTTGGCACAATGCAGACTGGAATTAGAGAGAAAGGTAAACAGGCTACTTAATCAAATCCATAATTGGGGAAATAATAATAGAGTTTAATCCTGTCAAGACTACCAACACTATCTTTATAAAATTTAAAGCAGATAAAAGACTCCCTTCAATAAAAATGGACGATAAAAATATTAACATCAACAACTTGAAATACCTTGGAGTTATCATAGATAATAAACTAACTTGGAATGACTACATCAAGTATCTAAAAGACAAGATAGGAAACTTGTTTGCCTGGATTTCGAAGGTGGTCTGGGGTCTTTCTGGTGAGGCTCTGCTGACCATCTTTAATGGAGCCATCATCCAGATCGTCTCCTATGCAGCATCAGTTTGGAGTCATAGGATGGACCTTGTACAGGTAAAGAGAACTCCATTCTAACCAGAGAAAGATCTTAAGAATTACTGGTTCATATCATACTAAGAATTACAGGTACTAGCCAGCTTTCTTCCTTTAGACTTAGAGGTCCCTTTTCTGTTTGATTATTGATGCCATTGCCAAGGACACCATCCCATGTACATTGATGCCAAAGATGCCTGCATTGACAAGACAACTAAAAGACATCTTACAATCAGAAGGTATACCAGTTATTAAAGAAATCAACTATGAAAACGCAGGGATAAAGAAAATCTACACTGATGGCTACAAAAGCCATGAGGGAGCCAGTGCAGCCTTCATTTACTAATACAATAATAGGAATTGTTACCATCAAATTAGAAGAATCAACAAGCTGTGTAGTAACTTCCAGGCCGAGATGCTAGCCATTAAGGAGGCCATCAGTTGGATCAACTTTCACAACAGAAACAGCTCCTTCACCATCTGTACAGATAGTAAATCTGCAATAGCATCTATAAAAAGACAATAGTAGCAAAAATCTTCTCACCAATGAGATATGGGAAAAACTAAATCTGACAGGTAATCTTAATAATTCAATTAATTTTTGCTGGGTTAAAACACATAGACATTGAAAGGAATGAGAAGGTGGATACATTGGCCAAGTAAGGCACGAGTCTCGATATCAAATGTTAAACTGATGATCAGAACTCACTACTGCATTGCCTGGCAGGAGTGTTGGCAAGGCTCTGAGAAGGATGGAGACCTTGCACTCCTTTATCCCAGCCCAGATGTCCATCAAAGAGTTCATAATAAGCATCTTTACATGTGTCACCAACTTCATCTCCCATCATGGTAATTTATTTATACAGGCATGGACACTACTACCAACACTTGCAGCACCTGTCATAAGACTGAAGATCCTGACTGTCATATAAGACTGCATCAGGCTGGAGAGGGTAAGACTTGATCTGACACATTCTTTGTCATCAGATTACAGTGGCCTGTATCTAAATATGATTAAACTTATTATAATTTTTAACATGTTAACTAAAATAAACACGTGAAGCTTACGCTATTTACTTTTAATCTGATTTATAATAAACTCTGGTATCGCAGAGGTAACCATTGTTATACTATAAAATGATAACAGGAAAGACAAAAATACGCACTGATTGTGACATATAGTCATTGTCTGCTGTTGATATTTACTATTGAATTGGGATCCAAAAGAATCTGTACATATTCTGCAAAATAAAATACTTTTTTCAACCATATACTGTGTTTGGTATGATGTTCTTTGTCAGTCAACATGTATTTCACTTCCACACTTTAAATAGCAAAATCTAATAGCTAAAACTTTTCCTGAAAGGAATAAGTCTGATTTGTTAATTTACAAAGAAGTGGTTTGTTGTATAGAAACAAATTTTCAAGTTCTTGCTATTGCTATAACATAATCCTAACTTGTATATCAGTAGTTAGATGATTGATAAGGTGGGCAAAAAGTCCATAAAAAACTTTAATCATTCTGATAATTCTTCCATTTTTTTTTAATGAATGTTAAGTGGTTTGCTTGGCATGTTGCTGATGGGGAAAAATGAGTTCCAAAAATAAACAATAGTTGCATTGACATACAAAAGACTACAGTGAAAATCATTTTCGTTATTTCTGATTATGGTCGTCTCTACATTCCTGTGTTTCAATCAGATCCTTCCACATTGTTGGAATTGAAAAATTCCATCCATTCAGATATGCACAATTTAGCCAAATAACAATGCTTGTATTGTTACTAATTTTCTCCATCAAAAAAATATTTGCCATGCAAACTGACATTATTCATAAAAAATAGAAGGATTATTGGAATGTTTACAGACTTCTTTCCTACCCTGAATTTAACTTGTGGTGAAAAAAATTATCCATACATTCTGTACAAGTTATAATTTTTGAGTTTCAATTCACTTTGATGCTATGACCCAGTTTAATATTAAACTAAACAATGGACAAAATAATTTTGCAGTTTGTTAATTCCATCATTGACAAAAAGTAAATTGTTGTTTGGTAATATTTTTATAGAAGTCTATTGCACACTGTTCTGAGAAAAACTTGAATTTAAATGTCTTAGAAACACATGTTCAATTAATAAAAAGCTTCCACATAGGATATGATATTATATAATAAGATTATTGAACTCTATCATAATTTCCTGCCTATAATCCACAGATCAATTTACAATTACATACCTCAATTTATGCAAGTTAATTAATGCATCATTTATTTGCTTTCTTGGTGCATAGTGTTTTAGTATAAAATAATGGTCTATGTACACTTAATTACATAATTAAATAAAAAGAATAGGTTATAAGAACATACCTGGTAAATATGGTTGCGTAGACCAAATATCAGGATAAAAATTAGAAGAATATAACATTGTTGGTGCGTAATTATTCAATTGTAAATTAGTATGGTATCCTATAAAGAGAACTTCATATTTAATTTATATTTATATTTCTATACATCACCAACATAACTTTTTAAATTTATTAGTACCAATCATCATAAATAAACTTATATTGCTTTTTGCACTATTTTATATACTAAAACTATATTATATAAATATTTACATTATAAATTTTCAGTTAAGCCCCATCTTGATCTTTAAGAAAGCTGATAAATTCTAAATTTTTCAACTATGTACAGCTATTTATATAAATTTATTTTTTCAAAAGATTTTCCATTTGTCATTTATTTTCAGTAATTATTTACTATTGTAAAATGCAATCAAATCTGTTTAGTGGCCATATCATTTGCTCGCCTCTGAAATTGATACCAAACTGAAGTACATCAAACAATAATAATTACATATAGTAATGGGGTCTGCACATAAGTTTGAATTTATCATCACTAGATCTGGTGACTTTTAATCACATGCAATGCAAAATTATGCATTTAGTGATACACAGATTTTGAAGGAGAACACTAATAATTATGGAGAAGATCAACAGATCTTCTCACAGTATTCTTTAGTAATGTATAGAAGAGCAGTATATCAATGTTAAATAAATATAATTAGTCAAACTAAAAACAAAAACTTCTAATCATTTCAATGGCTTTATCTTACATTCAAATTAAGTCAATAAATTTTGTTTAAAAAGAACTGAATGACTGTTTTGAGGATTTTATTTTGAAAAAATCCTCAAAACAGTCATTTGCAATACTTGAGAATCTCTAAGATATTATTTTACTAATAAAATTGATTTCTTATCAAAAAATCAATGTTGGTATAAATTAATTAAAACATTATTTGATGAATCATAGAAAAAAAATTTCTGACAGAGCATATTAGGTAACATTGAAAATAATTTGATATATTTCAAAAGTTATAAGTGCATTGTTATCTGCAAATGATCACTTTTCTAAGTTTTTTACAATAGAAGCATTTTGTTCTACAATTAAAATGTTCTGTATGTAATAAAAACTTTTTTAATTTTATGAAATTCTTTTTCCTTATCAAATCTAATTTATTTTTTAAAATAATTACTAAATAAATGAAATCTTACCTTCATAATGATTTTACTTAAAAATGATTGAAAGGCAAGCATTAAAATAAAAATTTCATTAAGAAAAATTAGAGATTGAAAAAGAGATAAGTAAATATTTAAAATATTATTTAAAAAAATTATAACATATGATAACAATTATAAGAAATTATAACATTATATGTTATAACCAGTGGCATGTCATCCGTGGAAGTTGTAGAAACATCGCTTCCCTTGTATTTTCTAAAATATAAATACATATTGCGCTATTATTTTAAAATTTTAATGTACTTTGAATTACTTAAAATTAATATTTTATTATAACCGCATCATGTATTTTATTACAAATTTCTATGCATGTGAAAAACAATGATACGATTGATATTGTATATTCGAATATAAATTCGTATGTGCCGTATTGTCTAATACAGGATGGCTTCCACAGAAAAAAATATTTGAATGGTGTAAAGCAACCAGATTACAGGAATTTGCACATGTGCTTTATAGAGCACCAACCTCCGGTGGTTTAGCAGTTTGATGCCACACACCAAAATATTGTATAGTGCTTCCAATGATTTTATCCATTAGTCAAGTAACTCCCTACAAGTGACAAAGTGGATTGTTCTAAGATTTAAGAAATAAAGATTTTATTTTTATGTACGTTTCTTTATAAAGCTATATTTAATTATAATTATGTCTGAAAATCTGTCAATATAATCTTTAGAATTTTTATCACTTTTAGATGCTAATAATTTTAAATATTATGAAAAACAATTTTCCAAAGCAAGTTTTAATTCCTTAAGTAAATTTTATAGAGAATTTTTTGATTTATCTAAATTACGTAGTGAATTGCAATATTTATACTTGTGTCCAGACTATATTGGCAAGTCACTCTTAGACATAAAAAATATTATAATTAATAATGATCTGAACATAGACATACTAAAAGAATTATATGATTTAATGTCATTAATTTTCATGGTACCATCTATCAGTGTGTCTGTTGAATGCAGTCTTTCAACCATGAAGCAAATTCATACATTGGCAAGGAACACTCTGTCAGAGGGAAGATTGTCGTCATTAGCGTTGCTTTCAATAGAAAAAGAGCTTTTAACTACTTTAATAAAATAGACGACAAACGACTACTCGGAAAAAAATTGCCAAATAGAGTTAGTTTATAAATAAATAATAAAACCAAGTTCTGATATTTGTTTCATGTCAATATTTATTTTAATNCAAATTTTATGTTCTTGCATCTGGCAGCACTGCCTTGTGATTGCTGCAAACATTCATACTGTTTTGAGAATTCAGGTGATGACCTTGACTATTCACAAAAACTTCGTATGGTCTATTCTATTTTGTGGACATACCCTACTCTCTACTAATAAATAATTATGGTTTTTCTGTTTTTTATAATGATTTTAATTTATATAAATTTCTACTTTAATTTTTTTTTGTATCTATCCTATAAGATGACCCTAGATTTTGGGGGTCTTTTTTCATGATTCAACTATTGTCTTATCTGTGCAGATATATGATAAGTATTAAAAATAAATGGGGGGAAAAACTGGATATGCAAAATATTGCCGAAGCTCTGAAGAATGCTACTGAAGAAGAAGGTAAATGTCGACTAGGTTCACTGCTCCGTCGAAGAACATTACAATATAATAGTGTTTTAAGTGTTGAAGGTACGGCCATTTTGCCAGGGAGTGTATCAGTGAACTGAATTATTTTAACCACTGTGGTGGCAACCACAGGTTCTCAGAGTGTAAAAACAAAAGTACAGCCCCAAACTGCATAAACTGAATCAGGAGTAAAGCAGCTACATTTGCCCACAAGGCCAACCATCCCACTTGCACCAAAAGACAGAAGATTATCAAATCTATTGCCTCTAGAATCAACTATGGATAACCACAGCTTCCACCAAAACAGCAGCCTACATCACCCTACCCAGAGACTAAAATCAACATAGTGCAAGTTAACCTTGAGAGGGGAGTTGTGGCTGTCTCCTAACTTATTGCCTGTGCCTACGGCGATGCAAATGTTCTGATCATACAGGAACCTTATCAAAGAAGCAGCTTCCCACTCGGATGGTCAATCAAGATGAGAAAGCTATACCATTGCGAGGACATAGTGCCTTGGACAATGATAGTAATATTATCATTGGTAATACCTACCTTACTAACTAAATACAGTAATCAATTCCAGACATTTATCAAGATTTCTAACAACAAATATAAATGGATAATAGGCAGTATCTACATCCCAATGGAAGCCAATATTCAGAACATATTGGAGGACCTAGATGACATAGTGGACACTTGTAAGAACGCTCACAAGATTGATAGCAGGTGACCTGAATGCTCATGCATACCTTTGGTTTGACGAGGAGATTGACGACAGAGGTGAGGCAGTTGAAAACTTCATTAATGAGAAAGACTTGTTTATACTCAATGAGCCTGGACATCACTCTACTTTTGGAAGTTCTAATAGGACATCCAATGTAAATCTAACTATATGCAATCATTTAGCCTTAAGACATATCCATGACTGGGAAGTATGTGCCAAATTTGCTATCTGATCGAAAGGTATCTAAAATACAACCTATCTGACTTTTATATAAGTGACAATATTAGTATAATATAAGCTTGCTAACTGGAGCTGAATTACCCAAAATATCACTAATCAAAACTTTAACTTCAACAGCATCCCAGATAGTCTCCATGCCGAAGATGAGATCAACAGGTTTATCAACACACTTAATAAATTTATTCCCAGGTACAAACAGAATGAAAGGATTTTGTGAAATGGTGGCGCAAGGAGAGAAGAAGGTATCAAACTTGCCATTCTGATGAACTAAAGTGGGAATATATAGAAGAACAAAAGGCATGCAAGGACCACAAAACTTAAAAGCTGGAGAAAGTTCTGAACCAGAAAATAAGTTATAATTAACAGATTTCAAGAACAAGGATGGTACCCATACTATGAACACCAGGACTGTGTCAGCCTACTGTTGGAGTTTTTCAAGGATGACAACCGGGATCAAGACAATCTTAGTCAAAGGAGCATAAGGAGTAATGTCAAATACCATTCCAATGGCACAAACGACCCTAAGTTCACTAATAATAAAATAGATTGGGCTATAAGTTTAAAAATGATAAGCTAACCATAGAGATCATCAATAATATACATTCTAGGCTCCCAACCATCCTCTGTGAGACAGTAGTTGTAAAGATCACATTCGGTATTTACCCAAGTGAATGGAAAGTTGCTGATGTAGTACCTATCTACAAAGGAAACAACAAGCCTCATGACTCCATCAAGAGCTACCATCCTATCTGCCTCTTACCAAATCTTAGGAAAAGTGTTAGACTGCCTTATTTATTACCAGACATCTTACCAACTGGCTTAGTGCCCATCATCTGCTTAACCCAAGGTAATATAGTTTCAAAAAAGGTGTCGGTGCAGAAGATGCCATCTACAAGGTAGTAAAGGAAATCAGTGAAAACAAAAACAAAGCAATAAGCTTGGACAATAGCAATAAGCTTGGATATTAAAGGGGCATTCGACAACGCTTGGTGGTCCCTTATCCACAACAGATTAGAAACCCTTAACTGTCTGCCAATTTTTACAGGTTAGTACTCGATTATTTCACTAACAGAAAAGCCATCTTAAATTATAGAGATACCGCATAAAAAAAAAAGTTACAACTGGCTGTCCACAAGGATCCTATTCCAGCCTGCTCTACTGGAACATCCTGCTAGATGACCTACTAAACCAAAACTTCCTTAAATAACAAAAACATCACAGTATATGCCGATGATCTGATACTCCTCTGCTTGGCACAATGCAGACTGGAATTAGAGAGAAAGGTAAACAGGCTACTTAATCAAATCCATAATTGGGGAAATAATAATAGAGTTTAATCCTGTCAAGACTACCAACACTATCTTTATAAAATTT